GTTTGTGGTCTTACATTGGCCTGGAGAGGGTACCAGCCTTCTTTCAATGTCTTGTAGATTACTGAGGGAAATGGAGGAGTTTGCTTGGCATATGTTGACAACATTTGTATTTTTAGCCGAATCTGGGAAGAATGTATGTCCCAGGTTAGGAGGCTTCTCCACTGCCTTAGGGAGGCAGGACTGGCTGTAAAGGTAGAAAAGTATAAAGCGGAGTAGTAGAAGCGACTTATCTGGGACACAGTCTGGGGAGTGGTCTCATGAAGCCAGACCCTGCAAAGATGGAGGCCATTAAGGACTGACCCGCTCTCAAAATAAAAAAAACAAAAACAGGCCCACTCCTTTATTTGATGGTGGGGTTTTACAGGAGATTTGTACCCCTACATTAACTCCCTAGCTGCTCCTATCATTGAATTATAAAAGGGTAAGTCAGACAAAGTAGTTTGGATGGAACAGTGTCAAACAGCTTTCTGTGAACTGAAGGAAACCCTAAGCAAAGATCCAGTTCTGGTAAACCCAGATTTTCACAAACCCTTTATGGTCTTCACGGATACCTCAGACACTGTGTTGATGCAGACTAATGCTTAGGAAGAGACATCAATTTGCACAGCTAAGCACAAAACTGTTCCCCAGGGAAAAGAATTATGCAACTATTGAAAAGTAATGTCTTGCAACTGTGTGGGCTCGTAAGAGGATGCATGGAAGAAGATCTGTAAGGGTGGCACTTTATTGTATATGGATCGCTTGCCTGGCTCAATCATATGAAAGCTTCTAATGCCAGGTTGTTATGGACTATAACCCTCCATAATTATGATTATGGAAGTAATTCATATTAAGGGGAATGCAAATATTATTGCTTGTGTGTTGTCCCACCGTGCTTGACTGTCTCTAAATCACTGGGAGTAATCCCGCTCAGTTTGTTCTTAAAGGGGGAAGAGATGTGGATCTTGGAGGAATTTTTGTAATATTTTTATGAAGCATTATTCAGTTTACCCACTGACTTTGTATGTCTAGCCACTGAGTGTGAAGGGATTAATTTCTTCTCTGGGACAAGAGGAACAAGAGAGATGTTGGAATCATATAGGTGTCAGCCTGTCTGGGTGGGACCAAAATGCACCATCAAGAACTGAATGGAATCAGTACAGATAAATGGAGAGACAATGGAAGACCCAAGGACTGGACATTAACTTGTGAACACAGCATAGCTGCATCTGGAGACAAAGCATATGTCTACACTGCAACGTAAGCCCAGGGTGTGTGGGGCTCAAGCATGCAGACTTGGTGTTTGTAAGTCAAGGCCTGAGAGTCTATGCTGATTTAGAATTTCTGGATTCTGGTCTCTTACCTGCACTCATGCATTTACACTGTACTTCGCAGGCCCGAGTCAAACCAGTCTATCCCAGGCTTCCTAGCACCCTCCCGAGCTGTAGCCACTCTAGCCCTTGTTTGTGGTGCAGTGTAAGAAAACTTGACTGCCCATCCCATGGTAGTTTACAGGAAGTTGTTGCAGCCTCTAATACATCATGCAGAGCCATGTTTTGGGTCTGCATGCCTCTGGCAACTGGAGCCAGCAACAAGGAGTCACCACCATCTATCCTGCTTGGGCTGGAGTCTGAGCCCAGGCTTACATTCCAGTGTAGACTACCCAAAGGGATCAGGTATGAACAAACCGGGGCTTAAGCTGCACACAGATAGAGACAATGGACTCCAGCAAACCATGGAAAGTTGGAGCAATTGCTTCAGTCAATGCAGACTCTGACTTAAACTTGGCATTTCCATGCAAACCTAAGGACTTTCAAAGGGTTGATTTCAGTTGACTAATAAATGCTGGCTTATTCTGAAAAGGCTACCCTGCATTGCTCCCTGCAGGGGTAAAATCTCTAACAGGAGTCTGAATTCATTTGGACTAACTGGAGAGTGCACTATGATAAACAAGGGTGTTGTGACCCAAAGGGCCCAGTCTTGGAGTCATGAGACTGCATCATCCTTGTAAAAGCCAAACTGAAAGCCTGGCAATAACAGGAGTACACCCAAAGGGACTGTCTGAAGGCTGGGACGTCAAACCCCATGTAGATCCATGATAGCTGGTGACAGACTGTCAGGTACTGGATACAACAGTAGTATTTTGCAACAAATTACTGTAACAGCTAAAACGCGGTAAGTCAAAGGAAACAGTAAGGAAAATGGTGTTTAATCAGCTCCATAAGGAAGATTATACAGCCGTTTAGTACGAAAAGGTTGTGTTGGAAAAGCTAACCAAGTCACAGCTGATTGAACTGCTTGAGAAGGATAATTAGGCCAAGAACCATGGTCCAGTTCCAGACAAAATTTCAAGTAAGCAGCCCAACTCGTCAGCGTCAGTCAGAAGGGACAGAGGCCCAGCTATCTCGGAGGGCAGAGGAGAGTCCAAGGAGGACTGCTGCAGTGTTATACAGAATCAATGTGGTTTCAAGCTCCCAGAGTGGGCCAAATACAGTACTGTGTGTATAAGTCAGTGGTGGGCAACCTGCGGCCCGTCAGGATAATCCACTGGCGGGACACAAAACAGTTTGTTTACATTGACCGTCCTCAGGCACGGCCACCTGCAGCTCCCAGTGGCTGCAGTTTGCCGTTCCCAGCCAATGGGAGCTGTGTGAAGCAGTGAGGGCCACAGAAATGTGCTGGCTGCTGCTTCCCACAGCTTCCATTGGCCGGGAACTGCAAACCGCAGCCACTTGAAGCTGCGGGCAGCCGTGCCTGCGGACGGTCAATGTAAACACTGTTTACATTGTGTGAGGCCCATGGGCCGTAGGTTGCCCACCACTGGTATAAGTCCTGGGACTTTAATAATCCATGAGTTGTTGATGGTGCAGATATTCAGGTTCTATAGCACGCAGCTGCAACATTCCCATGTCATCTATTTGTAGGCGCTAGCTTTCCCCGGTAAGAAGGATAATATTCTGAAAAGGAGTAACTGGGGGAAGGGAAAAAACATAAAAGCATGTTGGAGGGAGGTAGAGAGGGGTGTGTGTATGCATCTGTATGTATAATACAAAAAGCTACAAAAATGTCAAAATATTTCATAGCTAACCGCAATAGTTGAGTCATTTTGAAGAACAGAGATATATAAACAGTGAGGTAATTTACCAACATCAGGTTCTATAAATAAATGAATAAAATATTGTACAAAAAGGAAATAAAACTGGGGTGGGTGTACATATTGCCAGTTGAAGTAAGTTTTTCTAAAAAGCCATTTTGTTTCATAGAATCATAGAAGATTAGGGTTGGAAAAGACCTCAGGAGGTCATCTAGTCCAACCCCCTGCTCAAAGCAAGACCAATCCCAACTAAATCATCCCAGCCAGACCTTTGTCAAGCCAGCCTTTAAAAACCTCTAAGTATGGAGATTCCACCACCTCCCTAGGTAACCCATTCCCGTGCTTCACGCCCTCCTAGTGAAATAGTTTTTCGTAATACCAACCTAGACCTCCCCCATTGCAACTTGAGACCATTGCTCCTTGTTCTGTAATGTGCCACCACTGAGAACAGTGTAGCTCCATCCTCTTTGGAACCCCCACCTTCAGGTAGTTGAAGGCTGCTATCAAATCCCCCCTCACTCTTCTCTTCTGCAGACTAAAGAAGCCCAGTTCCCTCAGCCTCTCCTTGTAAGTCATGTGCCCCAGCCCCCTAATAATTTATGTTGCCCTCCGCTGGACTCTCTCCAATTCCTTTTGTTTTCCATTATCATTTTCTGTGCAGCTCTCATATAGTGTTTGTTTTCTTTGTCTTAACTGCTTTGAATTCAATGTTAACCCCTTTGATGATCATAGAACACTATAGGCAATTTGGTAATAAAATACTGCTGAACATAAAGTTTTGAGCTGAGTGCTGAAGAGCTAAATTGTTAATTAAACAAAAAATCTAATGAATCAACAGTGCAGTGCACATTCTATATTTAATACCCCCAAGAAAACAATAATAAAAATTGTTTATATATCTGTGTAAGCAAGTGGCATTCCCACACTGCTTAAATAACAGCAGATGTCAGTTCCTGATGGAGCTTCTCCAGAACTTAGTGGTTCCTAGGATGGATTTTACTCTCCATCTAGTAGTTCCTTCTGTCCTAGTGACACTCTCAAACTGTCTTATAGCCTGGGTGGGAAATAATAGAACCCACTTGGTCTGGCTGCCAATATGAGTCAGCAGAAGAACTCTGCATCTTTATGCAACGTACCACAGTTTGACACTAGGGGTGAGTCAGCAGAAACGTGCTAAATTTCTATGCATGGTCTTAGAACCTGACACACTATGCATCTAAAAGCCATTACACATCATGCTAATGCTGGTAAGAACTCTGGTCCTCTTAAGAAAGTCATCTGAGTTATGACAATTTATATGAGCAAAAGACTTGGCCCTAGATCCTTTAAAAATAAGCTATTTTGCTTTTCAAGGATAATTTTCAAAGCAGTTTAAAGGGACTGTTTGTTGGATACTGAAGCTTTACAATGGTGGATTTTTACCATCTGTATATAATCTGAATTCTTCATAATTTAAATGGGAATTTGTATATGGTTATGACATTTTTCATAAGAGTAGGAGCATTTACAACAAGGACCTGGCCAAATTCTCACTCAGGTAATTACAAACTGCCCACACAAATCACCCTAGCATTTTAATAGTGTGGTTTCAATAAGATATAGTTTTCTTCACTTCCTGTCTTAAACTGTGAAACAGTATGAAGGTGTACTGGTAAACAGCTGTGATTACTGTATGCAGTGTTGTTGTAGCCATGTTGATCCCAGGATGTTAGAGAGTCAAGGTGGGTGAGGTAATATCTGTCATTGGACCAACTTCTATTGGTGAGAGAGACAAGCTTTCAAGCTTACAAAGAGCTCTTCTGTGATTGCTGTAATTTCATCTGAACAATTTCAGCCATCTTTGTTATAATGCTTCCATACAGCTATTCTTCTTGGTGTGGATGGGTGGTGGGCAGAATGGAGGCCGAAATAAAATTTGAATACTAACCTCTGTTTAAAGGCCTTTTCACCCATCTCCCTTGCAGCTCTCTTCACCTCCTCAGGAACAGCATCTTTCTCAGCTTGAGATATCTGGTAAACTTTGTGGCCAGCATCCAGTCTATAGGGCCCACCTTTGCCGCCCAGCCCTGCTGTGTCTCTCCCACCTAGAACAGATGATATGAAAATCAAGTATGTGTCATAACTATCACATAAATCTTCCTCTTTTAAAACCTCCACTATCACCCCACCCCAAGTCCCACAGAAAATACGTTATTTGCATTTGCAAATAACTGTGTACTTTCAAAAGTGAAGTAATACCATGGTCAAGTGGAGTTCTGACTCCAGTTTTATACTATTTTGCAATCAAAATAAGGCCCTTTATTCTTCAAAGATGAAATTCACCCCTGTGCAGAGAGCTTACACTCCACTTAACTCCTACTTTAAATCCTCAAAGCTATTAGCCCTTAAAACTATTAACTTTGCTTCCTGTAAATTAACAATGTAACTCCAGGTTTCAGAGTAGCAGCCGTGTTAGTCTGTATTCGCAAAAAGAAAAGGAGTACTAATGGCACCTTGGTTAGTCTCTAAGGTGCCAATGTAACTCCAGAATTTGTTGTTTGTGTGCCTATGGTTTTCACTACTGTGTACAGTGTGACTGCTGTCATATCATTCAGAATTAGGAGACACTGAACTCTTTGAATGGATGGAATCAGATATTAACAACCTTAACCAAAGTGAAGGAGTACTTGTGGCACCTTAGAGACTAACCAATTTATTTGAGCATGAGCTTTCGTGAGCTACAGCTCACGAAAGCTCATGCTCAAATAAATTGGTTAGTCTCTAAGGTGCCACAAGTACTCCTTTTCTTTTTGCGAATACAGACTAACACGGCTGTTACTCTGAAACTTAACCAAAGTGTAAGAAATAAAGATTTCTAATATCTACTTGCCTGGTCCTGGGTATCTATGTTTATATGATTCTGAAGAACTTTTTACCTTCCACAGTATGGATTAAAAACTGACAGCAGGAAAAGAATTTAATGATAAAATACTTTTGAAATTTAGAACTGTCACCAAAGTTATCTGAGACATCCTTCAAAGACTCACGCAAATCACGAGAACACAACGAATGCTAACCTGTTCCACCAGCCCAGGTGTTTCCGCCAACATGGGGCATGTTGTCTAGATCTATCTTTCCATGCTTAGGGGAGCTCACATCCAAACCACTGTCTCTCTCAATGGTTATCTGTGAAATTAAAAAGAAAGTAAGTTGAAAATATCTCTTCTTATTATACCCAGCATGAATTCTATGACCATCGTGATGGCATGATGATAATACATTGTGTCCTACTTAGGAGCCATAGGCCCAGAGTGAACTCAAGAGATGTATTATTTCATAGGCCAGTAAATACAAAACATGTAAAAAAAAATAGCCAGGAGGAGAAAGGTCAGAGCTGCACAGGCTCTTAGAATACTGCAAACCAACCAAACCAAAGAGCAGTCTTGGGACTTGTCCACACTAGGAAAAAAGGTGTTTATTTAAAATGTGATAACTAACACTTTTAAAATCCGAACACAGACAGGATAAGAAATAGTTTTAACATGTGTTGGTTGGCTGATGTGAAGCTGAGGGGTCACCTCAACCAGCTAATATGTTAAAACTACAACTCAGTGACCGGTTTCAAGATGCCAGCTTCAAAGACCTGAAGGCTGACCTCTCTTCACTCACAAATAGGCAAATTTTCTGCATCTGTCTACTAACATACCTGAACCCTGTTCTTAAATAAAAGGTTAGTTCAAGTTACACGCTCATTTAATCCTTGGCCTGTCTGCCAACAAAGGTGATGTTTGTAATGGTGGTTTTCTGATATGCACACCTATCCACTGTGGGGCTGGACTTTGCCCACCAGCTCAATGGACACAAAAAACACCAAACAGCTGTCGGATGGTAATGACAGCATCAAATTGGAGACATTTAGGTAAAAGAATGACTCTCCATTACCACTCCTCTGAGTCATCTAGTGACTCAATTCCTAATGTATACATTTTCTTTATAGTAATAATTTTGTATAAATTAAAGCTATTTACTGTTACTTGAAATATAATGACACAGAACTGTAGGTAATAAAATTGATCTAGCTTCTATGAATGAACTCTTCCCACCCATATACTTACTTTACATTTATTTTAATGTAAAATTGATGCATTCTGAGAGTACACAATTTTACAGCCCATTAAGGAACAAGTTCTCTGGCATTAGCAGGGTTTCCATCAGAGCTGCAGAATAATTTAATCCCTGAATTCACTGTGTGCTGCAGACTCAACACAACACTGACAGGAATTCCAAATGTTCCTATGATCTGAAAACACATTCTAAAAACAGTGTATTGGCAACAGTTCAAAGAATAACTTTTTTCATCCTCATATTATTTTTATTAATTCATAAATGTATAATACACCCTCTGTGAAACATGTCATCAATGTAAAATAAAGGTAAATAAAGATCTAATCTGATAAATATCATTAATTTAAAATTTGCATACTAAAAACAGACTTTCAAAAGCACACCACAGTGTTTTGTCCTTATTTCAGTGGGCTGTATAATTTTTTTTTAAGTGGGTGCCTTTAAGGATAAAGTAAACAGTACCTTTTAGTGTAACTGCTTGACTAGCATTTTAAACATACCAAAGTCAATGGGTACACCAAAATAGCTGAGTTTATTTTAAAAAAAAAGAATGAAGGCCTTACAAGATGTAATGAAAATATTTATTCTTCAAAAAGAAACTAAAAACATGGGAAACTCGCTGCACTTTGGCCCTCATGGACCCTTTCTCTATTGAAAAATAAACAAAAATCCTACAAAGGGAAGCTTTATGCAGCTTATTTTGGTGTACTTAGTGACATTCAGCTGGTACTTTATTTTTCCATTGAGCAAAGTTCACAAAGTGCTGATTATTTTGAAAGACAGCCATTTTTGACATATTACTATTGGAAAGTTATAGTTTGAGACAGAATTGTATACTAGCTAGTGTTTGCAATTTTAAAATTAACATAAAATTATAAAGCCCTTTTTTGCCAGCATAAGCTCCATCTACCCACTTTTCAAGTGCAGACGTACCCTTATACTCGGTAGCAATTTAATTGATACATTAGCTTTTTCTAAGAATTTGGCACCACTATTGCTCTTACTTTGATTAACAATCTGTCTTACTGCTCTTAGCCACAGCAAAATATTCAATATAATCTTACTTTTTATTAAAAAATTAAAACAGACAAAACAAAAAAAAATAAGTGCGAGAAAGAACAAGCGAGCAGTCTAGAATTAGTCTTAGTTTAGCAACTTGCCCTTACTAAGTTCTCTGTATTTAATTAGCAGATGTTTTTGTTTGAATATTTGGAATACTCAAAGTGCTAGTATGGTATATAACAACAGTGATGTGTATTAACTGTTACAGTGACCTGGACATGTGGATCAAAAGGGAGGGCTGAATCAAAGATGAAAACATGACTATGGACTTGAACGACTTGGAATATTAAGACACAGGGAGGAAGGAGAAGGTTATGGGGGAAGATGAAGAGCTCAGTTTTGATCACGATAAGGGTCAACTAACAGCTAGACATTCATAAGGGTAAATCAGAAAGATAGGCTGAGAATTTTGTTTGGCTGGAAGAAGATAGGTCCAGAGTATATTTGTGAGTCATCAGCATAAAGATAATAGTCAAAGCCATGATAGTGAATGACACCATCCAGAGAGGAAGAAAGGGGAAGTGAGCAATGACAAAGCTTTGAGACTTCCACAGAAAGTGGGAGAGTGGAAGAGTATCCCCTCGCCAATGAAACTCTGACGAAGGTAGGAGGAGAACCAGGAGAGAACAGAGTCAGGAAAGTCACAATTTTGAGAAGAATTAGTCAATGACACCAACGGCAGCTGATATTTCAAGCAGGAGGAGGAAGAGGTCCTGAAATATGGCAGGTAGAGGTCCTCAAAGACTGGTGAGAGCCATTTCAATTGACTGTAGGAGTGGAAGCTAGATTGGATGGGATCTTGAATGAAATTAAAGGTGTATGTAAGACAAAGGTGGTAGACTGCATGATCGGTGAGTTTGAAGATGAAGCAGAGAAGGGAGATGGGATCAAAGCTGGATTTTTTATAATGGGAGAGATCAAATTTGTGCATCCTTTGATTAACTGGATCCTCACTGTGTGAGAGTTCTAAGGAGAGCTAGGTGAAATGCAGCAGAGTGTGTGCTGGAGCTAAGATCACCCCTCAACAAAAATATAACCAAAGGTTGGGAGTCGTCTTGAGGTAATTGACGGTTAAAAGTTAAGCAGTCAATTGAGGGCTCAGGAGATGTATTTGGAGTCAGGAAAATTGAAAGATGCAAGTAGGGGAAGGATCTAGTCAGGCATGTTACACATACATAGATAATTTGCCAGTAGAAGTGCTAACTATCCCTTCTGATGAGATTTCTTTTGAATTCATTGCATGCCTTTATCAAACTAGTTAAATAATTTGATTGTTTTAGTCAGGTTTTAACTATAGTGAAATTTCAATTTTTCTTGAAGTGAAACTTGTGCCATTTCATTATGTGCTTATAACTGTAGGCAAATGACAAACTTTATTCATTACTGTTAAGATTTTGCATAGTATGCTGTGCATATCACAGCTAAGTAAAACAACAGATGAATTCAGTCAAAAGTCTTTTGAGCTGTAGCTATGAGGTAAGGGTGACAGCAGAATAGCTGGAAAATATTTTGAAATTTTTCTTTTAAGATTTCCTTCTCTGAGGACTGGTTTCCACCACAACCACAAGCTCTGCAGTGACCATGGCATGTCTTTCTTTTGTGTGTGTCTAGGTTTGTTTACATGTTAGTGATTCATGCTCTAGAAATGTATTTATTTTTCCATTTTATCTGCCTTTCTTTGGCCAGGTACTTCTTCAGGGCTTCCTACCTACAAACAGCAGAATTGTCATCCTCTACTATGCTGCATATGAGCCTGATCCTGAGTCCCTATGAAGACACAATTTCCAATGAAGTTAATAGGTTGATCTGGACAAGCTGTCTAGGGCCCTCAAATTCTAAGGGAGTTAAAGGCCTGTCACAAATCACAGGATAAGACCCCAACTGACTCGATCACACAGTTCTGGCTTTTTAAACATCTCACTGTATTACAGGACTGATATATATTTGTGTTTCCTCTTACTGATTACAGTAGATACTCCCAATACTAGGAGTGATATAAACTAACAAAGAAGAAAAAACGTATCACTCTTCATATATACAAATGTGAAGTAGACATACAACCTCAGAGAGCTCAGATATATGACTTACTGAATTGAATGCCACAATGAAATTAGGTCTTCCATATTACATTGGTGCCAATCAGCTATTTAATTTATGCCATACTGTAATATGTACAATATGGAGACCTATGCTGGCCAGGCAATATATGAAAGGGGTACTCTGTCATGTGTTAATTGAGTCTCAGCTAGTTAAATATGTTTGGAATTAGGTCCAGAATTACATTCACAACACTACGTGTGTAAATGTGTCACTGCTTACATATTATTAAATGTGATTGTTTTACTTACTGCCGTGAATTATAAAAATTATAAAATTATAAAATCTAATGAAAGAAATTAATGAACAGTAACTACAGCAATAAATTGGAAATCAGTGGCATCAATCAAATATAAGGTCCAATTTTGGGATTTTTATAGCCTCATGGTGATAGAAAGGAGCTGAAAAAAGGTTTATTATGACCTACAGAGCTGACCGCATTAAACAGTGGATTATCTCTATGAGCAATTATAGCAATTGAAGATGAAGGATGTGTCTGCAGTAACCCACTGTGAAATAAGAAAAGGAGTACTTGTGGCACCTTAGAGACTGTGAAATGTGTTTTTTTTAAAAAACACGTATAAATTATGGAGGCACCAGTTGTAGCTCTGAAGCTAAGGTAATCTGAGTTTTGCACTTTATTCAGGGATTCTACTACTTTACCACGTATGAAAAATAACAGTGTGTCCCCCAAAATTACAGCACTTAGCCTTTGAGTAAGAATGAATTTTACAAGTAAATTTGTTAATTAGTTTATGTTAAATTAATTTTAAAAATAGGTCATTTCAGATCTTTCTTTTTGTTCCTAATAATCTTAATGACCGCTAGACAACCAAACAATCTTAACTCTGCTCTATAGTGACACCATGATGGGAAGAAGGAAAAAAGTCTTTAAAAATAAG